TGCACTTGAATTATGCACAGAAGAATCTTTATTCATTATCCAATTATCCTTATTATTATCCAACTTTCACATGCATATGAAGTGATTAAAAATACCATTGCTTAGATCAGAGGCACCTTAATCCTTCGAAGTGACACCTTTGCTCTTTTTTAAAGAGGACTTATGCAGCAGATTTGCCTAATGGAATACGTCATTTGATTTCTTGACTGCTGCTTCCAAGAGTACTAACTGTGGCTCCAAGCACAATGAAGTGTTTGACAACTTCAATCTTTACTCCTTTTATCATGTTATTTAGTGGTTCCGTTTGAGGATTTTTGATTTCTTTACATTGAAGTACAATTCATACTGAAGACTGTAGTCGTTGATCTTCAGCAGTATTTCAAGTCTTTTTGCTTCTAAGCAAGCAGGTTGTGTCATCTACGTATTACAGGTTGCTAATAATTTTCTCCAATATTGATGCCACACTCTTCCTCATATAATCCAGCTTCTCAGATTATGTGTTCAGCTAAGTATGGTGAAAGAATACAACCCTGGCATATAGTTTCCCTGATTTTACACCATTCAGTATCCCTTTTCTGTTTGAATTACCACCTCCCAGTCTATGAATAGGCTACTCATGAGCACAATTAAGTGATCTAGAATACCAATTCTTCACAATGTTATCTATAATTTGTTAGGATCTACAGTTGAAAAACTTTGCGTAGTCAATAAAGCACAAGTAAACACCTTTCTGATATATATATATATATATATTTTTTTTTTTTTTCCCCAGCTAAGATACACCTGACATCAGCATAATATCCTTTGTTCTACATCCTCTTCTAAATCTGACATGAATTCCTGGGAACTGACTACCAGTGTACTACTGCGACCATCTGTTTAGTTACCTATAGCAAGATTTTACTTGGAGATACTGTTTGATGATTTCCTCATTCCCTTGGGTCACCTCTCTTTGAAAAGGGCACAAATACAGATTTCTTCCAATCCGTTTTTCAAATCTCTTGACATAGAGGAGTACTTCCAGTGCTGCATCAGTTTGTTGAAACATCTCGATTTGTATTCCCTCAATTCCTGGAGCCTTGCTTTTGTCATTGCCTTCAGTGCAGCTAGAACTTCCTCTTTACCTCTTGAAATGATTAAGCATCAACCAATTATTTTTGTAGAATGACTAAGTATTCATTTCATTTTTTATGATGCTTACTGCCTGCATCATTCACTATCGCACCTATAGAATTCTTCACGATTGCAATAGGAGGCTTTTATTTTTTCTTCAGACTTCTTTCAGCATGAGAAATGCTGAGAGTGTTCTTCCCTTTTGGCTTTCTAACTGCCATGTCTTTGCAATTTCATTATAATACTTTGTCATCTCGAGAAGCCCTTTGAAATTTTCTGATTAGCTCTTTTACTTCATCATTTCTTCCAGTCACTTTAGCTTCTGTAAGTTCAAAAGCAAGCCTGACATCCATTTTAGCCTTTTCTTTGTTTTCTTTATTTTGCATTCTTCATGTATGATCTTGATATCCTCCTACTATTCTTAGTCTTTGGTCATTAGTGTCTAAGGCATCAAGTAGTTCTTGAAATAGTCTCTAACTTTAGGTGAGATATATTCAAGGTTGTATTTTGGTTCTAGCAGACCTGCTTTTTAATTTGCTTCTATGAACTTGCATATAAGCAACTGAAGGTCTTGCTCTGCTTGATGACAGAGCTTGTGTATTGTATCTTCTCACAGAAGCAGTCAATTTGATTCCTGTGTACCCTATCTGGTGACGCCCACATGTGTAGTCACTTTTTATGTTGTTGAAAAAAAAAAAAAGTGTTTGCAATGAATATGTTATTTGTTAAGTGCTGTAGAGTCACTTCCGAATCACAGTGATCCTATATAGGGCTTCTGAGAAGTGGCTGGTGAACTTGAACCACCGACCTTGCAGTCCAGCACATTAACTGGTACTGTCACACCAGGGCATGGTTATGCAAAATTCAATCATGTGATCTCCAGCACTGTTTTTATCACCATGGTCATATTTTCCAACCATTCATCCTTCTTTTTTGTTTACAACATTGGCATTCCAATCACCTGTAATTAATTATTAATGTATCTTGATTGCATGCTTGCTCAATTTTAAAGTGAAAAAGTTGGTAGAAATTCTTTAATTTCATAACTGGCTTTAGTGGTTGGTGAATTACATTTAAGTAACAGTAGTATTAACTGGTCTTCTTTCAAGGCATATGGATATTATCCTATCATGGAGAGCAGTGCATCTCAAAATAGATCCTGAAATGTTCTTTTTGATGATAAAAGCGACACTATTCGTACTCAAATTTGTAGTTCTCAGCATAGTACACCATGTGATTATCCAATCCAAACTGGCCAATACCAATCCATTTCAGTTCACTAATGCCTAGGATATTGATCTTTATTTGTCAGATTTTATTCTGGACAACTTCCAGTTTTCCTAGATTCCATGTTTCGATTATTAATGGATGTTTGCAGATGCTTTTTTCTCATTTTGCATTGTTCCACATCAAAAAATGAATGGTCAAATGTACTTTAAGGAGGCAGGTCTTCCCCGGCTATATTTTGCATGCCTTCCATGACCTGAGGAGCTGGTCTTCTGGCATTGTATCAAGACATTGTTCTATTGCTATTCTGCTATTCATAAGGTTTTTCAGTGGCTAACCTTTAAGGAGCTCTGGTAGCGTGGTGGTTACCAATTAGGCTGCTAGCCTTAAGGTTGGCAGTTCTAAACTACCAGCCATTCCACGGGAGAAAGATGAAGCTTTCTGCTCCCATAAAGATTTACAGCCTCGGAAACTCTGTGCAGGGTTATGAGTCGGAACCGACTCCACGGTACTTAACAAATTCTGACCCACAGCGACTCTGCATAAGGTTTTCCATGAGGTAACTGGTGAGCTTAAACCACTGACCTTGCAGTTCAAATGACTTTGCAGTCTGACATATTAGCCCCCACTGCGCCACTTACTATATTGAAGAGCACCTTGGTAAAGGTTTGCTCTAAAATCTAGCATATAGTGACATTAAAAACTGATTTAAATTCACAGTAAATTAATCATCATTTCCTTTTTTGTAATTTTTAATGAAATTATATCAGTTCAAAGAATGATATTTGGACTCCAGATGAAAATTAATGCCAATATGATAAAAACCAAGAGTATGATAAACATCTCATGGATGGCAAGGCACTTGATTAGGTGCTTCTGGGGAAACAAAGACCAGACAGTGCTCTTTGGGAATCTCACGGTTTAGTGAGAAATGCTAAATGCACAAACTACATTGTAAGACAAAAGTGTACATGAAGGCAGGAAAAAGAGTTGCAAATGCAAAGAAGATACAAGTACTAGTAAACAATGAAAAGTATTAATGAGAATTAATCTTTATTGAAGAGATATCTCAGTGAGAACACTGGGAATAAAGGGAACTTAATTTATTAAATTTGTTGTTGTTAAGTGCCGTGGAGTCGTTTCCGACCCATAGCGACCCTGTACAGGGTTTCCGAAGCTGTAAATCTTTACGGGAGCAGAACGCCTCATCTTTCTCCCGTGGAGCGGCTGGTAGTTTCGAACTGCTGGCCTTAAGGTTGGCAGCCCGATTCGTAACCACTACGCTACCAGAGCTCCTTCAATTTATTAAATTTAGTAGTTATTTAATAGTAGGCCCTGTGATAGAAACAGTACAGAAAAGTGAGTATAAGATAGTATCTACTTTCAAGGAGTTTAAGATCTAGTGAGCAAGAAAACTACAATGCAGCTAGCTGAAGTGACAGTGTCCACAAGGTTATGGGCAGCCAAGAAGGGAAACCACCTAGATTGGGAAAAAGGAAATTTTCTAGAAAGGATGACGAGGGAAGGAGCAAAAGTTAAGAAGCCATTTAACAGTTGTTGTTAAGTGCCGTCAAGTCTGTTCCGACCCATAGTGACCCTGTATAGGGTTTTCCAAGGAGTGGCTGGTGAGCTTGAACCACTGACCTTGCAGTTCAAACTGACTTTGCAGTCCAGCGCATTAACCCACAGAGCCACACTAAATGGATCTAAATCATATTAGAACAACCATGTGCAAAGCAATAGTAATCAATAAGATGTAAACATCAGACAGGGAGGCTCTTGAATGTCATGCTAATGAACTTAGATTTCACTATGGAGGTCCTAAGAAACTTCTAAAGCTTTTAGGATGGGGGTGGGGGGATGGTGTGGTGGTGTAACATAAGCAAATTTGTGTTTTAGAAAAATCACTTTGGTAGTTAGTGGGGATAGGTTTTGGGTTGATAAGACTTAAAACAAGGAAGCAAGTAAACAGTAGTTCAGAAATAAGATACTGAATACTGGAACTAGAACAGGGTAGCAATGATGGAGAATACAGACCAAATATCCTAGTGATGTCCATTTTTCCCTGAGATCATTTCCTGCCATTTCCACCTCCTTCATACAGTCCCTTCCTTTCCCTTTTCCCTCTAACACAGACTCTCTATCCAGTCATAGTCAGCTGGACCCAAGTGGACATAAAACCCTGGAGGAACCAAGTCATATGCGCTAAGCCAATCAAATTCTTTGAGACAGAATGGGAACTAAGAGTTAAAAATAGTTAATTGTTAAGCCTAATTGGCAAGTTGGTGGCAAGGTAGTCATTTTTCTTTCTGTAAGACACAGCAGAAAAAGCTAGTCAGCATTTATGAAATAAATTCCATGAAAACAGAGTTCTGTCTGTATTACTGGTGTCTCCAGCGCCTAGCACAAACATTGCTTGGTTAAAACTTTTCTCCAAATTCTAATCCTTTTGCCAGTGGCCCTGTAGGGACGTTAATGTAGCAACAGGATATAAGGAGGAAGACAGTGGTTGTACTTGTTGGTATCTGAAGAGTGACTTTAACAGATGGTGCCAACTTTTCCATCAAGTAGTTCTGCATAGCTGTACATTCTTGGCTTCTTAAGATGAAAAAATATGAGGGCAGAGCACAGAATTGAACTGAATTTTGTTGAAAACTTACGATAGGAGCCATCCGGACTCATTTCATCACTTATAACCAAGCAGGTGATCTGGGAATAAGGTAAAGGGTTATTTCGATTATAGGGACTAACAATCATTCCAATGAACTTTGCACCTCCTCTGGAGAAGTAACTCTGCAATTTAAAAGAGAAAAGTGTAATTAGTTTCCACTTCATATATTTAAAAGTCAGTATTTATCTGAACCAACATTTTAAATACTTGGTGGGGAAATTGAACAAAAAAGGTAAAAACTTTTATGTCAACACAACAATTAAACATCTTATATATTTACTCTACAATCTAAACTGTGCCAAAATATGCTTCACTAAATTTGAAATGAACCTCACAAAAAATCACCTGGCTTAAAAAAACTTACATTCCTTAAAAATATATTTACTAACTATATTCACTACCATTCAGCGAGTCTTTATCAATGACAGTAATTTATAAATAGTTGCCTATATAGATGCCAAACATAAAATTTCAGAAGAAAATCAAACTGTCTTATTCAGAGATGTAAAATATACTGTCTACAATCAGTTCAATCAGATCCTGTTCCTATTTCTAGTTGTTCCCATTCGACTTTGGCAGTACTTATCGCTGTTTGAATTAAACAAAACAGCTGATTTTTCAACCAATTTTTCATACAGTTGCCTAAGTATGTATTACTCACAATGAAAAAAAAAAAATTTATTTCAAAGCCCTAGAAGCAATTATTAGAATGCAGTATTTTCTAACTTAGTATTACAATAATAATTCTAATATGTCAAGTAAAACAGTATATACATTTACTAGAAAGCAACACAGGGGAGGCAGTGTAATCACAGTATACATAGGACCTATAGACACACCTGGTATTTAGCTTGGGTATCAATATCTCGTAACGATGGGTTAGGATCAAAGGCAGGATGAGAATGATACCATCCAATAACACTGTAGCCTCTAACAGCCAAGGTCTCTGAGGCCTGTGTTTGTGATACAGGATCCATTTCACATTGCAGTCCAGTACTGAGACTGTTACACGGCTCTGCTGCACAGATCTGCAAAGGATTATTTAGTATCATGTGATTGTTCTAAAATCCTGTGAATTCTATTTTTGATGTTTTAATTCTTTCAAAAAAAAAAACAAACCAACTTTTCACAGGCAAGACTTTTATCTAATTATGCCATAAGTAATCTGTAGCTCACAAATGTATTATGTCAAAAATGTGTTTGTATGAGGGGCTTCAAAAAGTGTGTTGGAAAATTCCATTATCTTTTAACTCAAAGTGTATTTTTCCACTCAAACAAGGCTATAATGTTTAGTTTTCCAAGTTATCTCACATATACTTGTTATAAAAGTACACTTTTCACTAACTTCTATTATTTACACCTGATACTGTCTTATTTCAAGTGTAAGTAATAGTACACAGTGAGTTGTAGGTTTTTATTGGTGTAAATAATGAGCAGCCAAAACCTGGCTCTGCTCTTTCTTCCTTATACAAGACCAACAGGTTCTCAGTATATGGACTGTCATATCACTTCTGGGAACAAACAACTGTCTAGATTTGCATATTCTCATTCCTATCATAGGTTGCTGTTGTTGTTGGTAAGTGCTATGGAGTTGGTTCCGACTCTTAGAGACCCAGTATAGGGTTTCCAAGGAGTGGTTGGTGAATCTGAACCACCAAACTTGAGGTTCAAAATAATCTTGCAGTCCAGCGCATTATCCTATCGTGCCACCAGGACTCCATACCATAAGTAAAGCCTGCACTTTAATTACATTCCCTCAATTTTATAAAAATATATGGAAAGCAGCAAGGACAATGAATAATTTTAAAAGTCTTTAAATAAAGAACTTACTTCAACTATCTTATCAACTTCAGAATATCTTCCGCCTAACAGACCAATGACTTCTGCCATAGAAACATGAGCATGCTAAATGAAATAAAAAGACAGATTTAGCCCAAATGCAGAAATTCACCTGACAAAAAATTAAAATAAAATCCACTTATCACATGAAAGTTAATTACAAGTATGTCAATTGTGTTTTCTAAATAAAGTAGAACAGAAGAGGAACAATGCTAGGCTAGGTACACAGAGACTTAGATTCTGGTCTATCTTCTCTGAGCAGCTTTGAGCAAAACATTTAAATTCACCAAGACATTACTATTCCACTTGTTCTCCCTACTTAGGGAAGATTTTACAAGGGTAAAATGTAAAAAGCATTCTGGATCCTTCAACAGAAAAACACCATAAACAAACACACAACTGATGGAGGCATCAATAATGTACTGCAAATAAGGAGCCTCCAAATTATGGGAGTTGTGATTTGTTGCAGTTATCTAGAAGGTAGCAGACAAGGGGTATAAGGAAATGAAAATAGGGCTAATGATGATAAACAGTCTGCAAAACTCACATTAATTTATATTTTCTAAAATATGGAAACATGCAATTGTTTGACTTTTCTCCAAAAGAAAAGACTTATTTTTAGATTCCTTGTAAAAGAAGATAGTTAAGATCCAAAATACACGTCTTCCATACTCTCTCTTATGCCTGCAATAAAAATACACAAGAATAGAAATCAGAATAACTAAACAAACACAGTAGATTATCCTTACCAAATCCATTATTAAAAGTGCTTCTGAAGCCACTTTCACCTGAAATGGCTCCTGAAATATAAAAAAAAAAAAAAAAATGGGGGGCATAAAAATTGATTTTGTTTTCCCAAACTAGAACATCCTTCTCTCTCCTTTACTTATCCTGCCAAATTCTTACCTCTAGTCAAAGATCAGTGTAAACCACACTTTGAAATTTAAAAATCACTACTCATAACCTCACTATGGAGAAATTTCACTTCCATTTCCCATTTGTACCAATCACTGATTTGAAACTTTAGTAGATCTTGCCTTAACATACACAGATCTCATTTTCCCAAATTACCATTTTCCCACAAACAACGGGGCATAGCGTGTTCACAAAAAAGGCACTGGGGGGCAAAGGGCTTTTTCATGGTTGGCAAAAAATGCATACTGGGCACATTATTTGCGTAAGTAAATAGACTGCAAAATCCTTATGTACAGGAATTATACGTGAACCTTTTAATTCCAGATTAACACAGTGCCTTGCATACATAAGAAAACTACACATCTTTCATGACTGTCAGGAACATATCACTCTTGGTCATTCATTAATGTATAAATAGTACCTGCTTTTCTTCATTGAAAAAATTACAAGGTATCAGTTGGAAGGGATCAAACGAGCTGAAAGAAAAAATACATTTATTTTTAATATAATTTCAATAAAAAGATTAGAAAAGGAACTTCTATTTAAAATTAAAAACAAAGTACCAATAATTTAAACTCAAATTCTGCTTGAAGGAGAAAAATATTAAACTGGCATCATAGGATAAGCTCTGGACTGCAAGGTCAGTTTGAACCACAAGCTTGGTGGTTCAAATTCACCAGCTGCTCCTTGGAAACCCTATACAGGGTCGCTATGGGTCGGAGCTGACTTGATGGCACATAACAACAATGCTGGTGGCACTATAGGATAAGCAGTAAACTGCTAACTAAAAGATTGGCACTTAAACTCATCAGTTGCTCCTTGGGAGAAAGATGAGGCTTTCTGATGCTGTAGATTGTCTTGGAAACCCTTTATAGAGATGCTAAGAGTTGGAACTGACTGGGTGGGAACTAACAACAACAGTTTAATTACTTAGGATATTTCATAGACTCTTTTGGGACGAAGCACTGTTTTTTTGAACTTTACAGAAAAATGGGAAATGGTAGGAATTTTGGGAAAAAGAGAATCCTTCTATCGTAAATTTCTTTTAACAACCAGAGAGGAAAATAGTATAGTCAGCTATGTGTCCTGCACTGGAAGCAGATTTCAGAAAGTTCAAAGAAAATGCAACTGATTCCCTGACATGAGACCTGAAAGAACATACACTCTCAATAACACTTCTAGAAGTACAATCATGTGCCCAGCACATAGTAGCGACTCAGTATTTATTGAATGATGGTTCTTATAAACACTGTATAGAGAAAATTCTATGAGAGACTCATAATTTAAAATGAACAAGTAAAAATGGTGGAAAAAGGAGGCATTTAAGCAAGGCTAGATTAAAATAAAAACAAAAACCCAGCAGAAATCTGAGAAATGTTAGAAAGTCCTTTTCTAACACTTGAGAAAAGTATTAACAATTTTAGGCCACGTTCAGAGGAAAAAAGACAGAAAACCAAAAAACATGTTACATGAGAAGGGCAGGACTCTGTTCCTATTTCACCATGGAAGTTTTTAGCATAAAAAGAAAAGAGACTTTGTTTTGTTTAACACTGTATCTCAAGTGCCTAGAATAGTGCCTGACACACAGCAAACACTCAGAAATATTTGTTGCCTTAAGTGTAAAGCTCTTGACATTAGAAAGTGCATACTCAACAGCAGTCACAAGACAGAAAGGACAGGTGGGTAAGAAGTGGAGCACCTGGCAGCATTAATTGCAGAGGAGTGTACCCTGGAGCATGAAAGAACCATGATGTGCAGCCATTGCTAATTTTAACTTGCGTGGCTAATTTTAACTTTAATGCTAATTTTAACTTTAAGCTTTTTCACTTATTATCAATAACACTTGCTAACAATCAGCACCACCCAAAGACAGCGCCAGTTACTCAATGAGGTTGCCAGTCCATCACGTCAACAAGGTCCCTTTACAACACACACTGGATCCTCAACTTGAACAAGTATAAAACTTTTGCTTCAAGTCTTCCAAATTGATGATCAGAAAAATAAAGAGTCAAAAATTACAGTAGTATTTAAAAATATCATGTGAATAACATAATGTAGCTAACTTGGATAGCTTTTCCATTCATTTTTAATCCATGAAAAGTGGGAAAAAAAACAACAGAAAGATATATATGCATAACACTACACCTTTTTGTTGACCTTGGCACTTTAAAAGACTTATTAACAGGTTTACATTTTTCCTCTTCTCTTCTTCTTGCCAACTCCTCAGCAGAGAGATGCTAAATAAAACATAAAATACCAGTTCATCGAAGAGCTCACTAATCACTGAGGCAGAATTAATACAAATACTCAACTTAAAGGGCATGTGAGAATCAGACAGACTAAATTGATGCATATGCTTCTCCTCTTGGTACTAACAAATAGAAATGTTGGGTAGTGTATTTTAAAAAATATTTCAAAATACATTTTCTTTTCAGGTACTGCATGCAGAGTTGGTTGCAACTCACAATGATTCTATGTACAACAGAACAAAACACTGCTTGTTTTCCCGCCATCCTCACAATGATTACACTTGACCTTATTGTTGCTATCACTTGTGTCAACCCATCTAGTTGAGGGTCTTCCTCTTTTTCACTGACTCTCCATACAAAATTTACATTTTATTCCTTCTCTTGACTTGCCCATTTCAATCAATAATATCAGATTCAAAAGCTTCAGAAACACCCAGGTCTTTCCTGTTTGTTACTGCCCAAATTTTATAATCAAGTCCTATGGTTTTTCTAACACAACCAAAAAGACAGCACACCATAATGACGAGGAACACAGATTCTGCAGCTAGTGAGCCTGGCTCTGCTACTTAATAGGTGGGTGGGTGGGTGACTGGGCAAGTTACTGAAGCTTTCTGTGCTTCAGTCTCCTCATCTTTAAAATAGTAACAACAATAATAGCATTAACAATATGTCATGTGCTATTACGAAGATTAAAGGTGTTACTAATGTTTGTAAAATACCGACAATAGCAAGTCCCATATAACCAAAAACCAAATCAAATTTGTTGCTGTCAAGTTGATTTTCACTCATAGTGACCCTATAGGACAGAGTAGAACTGCCCACAGGATTCCCAAGTCTATGAATCTTTACGGAAGCAGACTGTTTTTTTCTACATTTTTCTCCCACAGAGTTGGTGGTCAGTTCGAGCCACTAGTCTTTAAACTAAGCAGCCAAGTTCTTAACCACAGTATACTTATACAAACATTCAATTAATTCCATTCCCACTAACCAAAATTATACTCCAACCCAAATGGACTATTCACCTTTTCTAGAACGTATTTTTTTATATTTATACTTTATTTATGCTGCTCCATAACACTTCAATATTATAATTAATCTATGTTTAATGCTTGAAATACTATTTTAGCTATCAGAATATCATTTGATAAATGCTTCTTAAAATGAATCAGGCATACCAATTTCCTGGCCCTCTAGCAGACGTTCTTGAACAAGTTCATAAACATGCTTCTATATCCACATTTCAGGAACATGGAGACAGAGAATCAAAATTTTGAAGAGGAACCAAATTTCTAGTTAACTACACCACTAATGCTCTCTACTTTGTTTATTGGTGACTTCTAGACAAATTAACATGAACTAAAAACATACATATGTATATATACATGAAACAAATTATTTTTATGATATTGTTATGTGACGTGGAGTCAGTTCCAACTCACAGCGACCCTGTATAGGATTTCCAAAGAGCAACTGTTAAGAGTTTGATTCTCCAATCTTACGGCTCAAATTGACCCTGCAGTCCAGTGTGTATCCTACAGTGCCACACCAGGACTCCAGTATTTATATAAGATATTAAAATATACAAATTCAGAGGGCCTACAAAAAGGTCATGGAAAAATTCCATTATTTTTTAATTCAATTTTTCCATGAACTTTTGTAAAGCCCCTCATATACTGACTAAAGAGCTTTCATGGATATTGAAGAAGGTTAAAGTTACCTCAAATGTTTGTCCTTCTAAGTCCTTTGCATCACACCAATTTCCCCATGGATCTCGAACCCTTCGTCTTCTTGTACGCTATGATTTGATTAAAATAAAGCAAAAGGTAATAAGATTCACTTTCAGAAATCAAAGCACATGAATTCATTAAAACAACAATGATGTTGTTGTGTTGTTGTTGTTGTGTGCCGTGGAGTCGGTTCCGACTCATAGCGACCCTGTACAGGGTTTCCGAGGCTGTAAATCTTTACAGGAGCAGAAAGCCTCATCTTTCTCCCGCGGTGCAGCTGGTAGTTTCGAACTGCTGACCTTGCGGTTCGCAGCCTGATTCGTAACCACTACGCTACCAGAGCCCTTAAAACCACAATAAATTTCTAAAAAAAAATTAATTTACCTAAAATATTATATCAGATTACTGAATGAATTCCATTTTATCAATTTATGTTTACTAGTTAGTACTGGAATGGTGCTGCAGGATAATGCACTGGACCACGAGGTTGGTTTTGAACCATAAGGTAGGGGGTTCTAACTCACCAGCAGCTCCTCGGACACCCTAAACAGGGTTGCCATGAGTCGGAACCGACTCAATGACACTCAACAACACAAGTTAGCACTTTAAGGAACTCTAATAGCACAGTGAGTTATTCACTGGGCTTTAACAGCAAAGTCAGCAGTTCAAATCCACCAAGTGCTCCGAGGGAGAAAGATGAGGCTTTCTGCTCCCGTGGAGATTTAAAGCCTGATATGAGTCATAACTGACTTGACAGCACATAACCACCACCACCATAAGAGGTTAGACATAGAACTGCTAATTAAAAGGTCAGCTGCTACCAGGGAGAAAGATGAGGCTATCTGCTCCTAGAAAGATGTACTGTTTTGGAAACCCTGTAAAGAAAGGGTTACCATGAGTCAAAATCAACTCAATGGCAGTGGGCTAGTTAGTCAGCACTTTGCTGAGAAATATGTCATTGATAATTTTCTGTATCTTGGGTTTATTTGAATTTCTTCTTTAATTTTCATAAATCTAGGTAGCAGGTAAGGAGCTCCAGTAGTGTAGTGGTTACAAATCAGGCTGCTAACCTCAAGGTCAGCAGTTTGAGACTATCAAGACTATCAGCTGTTTTGCAGGAGAAAGACAGGCTTTCTGCTCCCGTAAAGATTTATAGCCTCAGAAGCCCTGTATGGGGTCACTATGAGTCGAAACTGACTCCATGGCACATAACCACCACCACCAAGTATTAAGTGTTTGTTTACAGCCTAAATACTGAGAAAAATACCTACTCCATTATCTACATTTTTTTTCATCAATCTCACCTATTATCAATTTACTCTAGATAGCAAAACCCCTAAGGTCACACTACAGTTTATAAGAAGCTTATTGGATCATTTATTTTTTAAAATAAGATTCAAGAATTTAAAAATACTATAAAACTTATCTCTAAGAATTAAAGATAAAGTATTTTAGAGAGCTGTCCCAAAATAGCTGATTTTTAACAAAAACAAAATAGAAACTATAAGAAAATATCAGAAAGAGAGAAGAATTTAACTGTATACTTTTAAAAGACACATTAGATTTATAAATTAAACAATAGCCTAAGACCATGTTAGCAAAAAAGGGAAAACAAAAATACTGCATAGCTTGTCACTGGAATTTCTGGGGTTGTTTTTGCCTCATAAACCAGCATGAAAATGATTGGAAGCCAAAAAAGTAAATGACTGAGTTGAAATATAAGAGAAAACATATCCTTCATCAAATGAGCATTTGCTCAACAGTTAAAAAGATGCAGGCATGCCTTTGTTTACAGAGTAAGGAGTAATTTGGAAAGATCATTTAGAAAGCAAGCTGACAGCTTACCATTGATTGCAGACGCTGGGCAAGTTGGTACGCTTCTACGGTATCTTTTCTGTCTCTGATTCGTACTTTATCAACTGGCTGTGGTTTGTTATATACAGCCTGTTCTATCAAAATTAAGGAAAAATAAAATAATTATTTTTTGAAATAAAATAAGACACATCTACACTGACTATAAATTGTGAGTCAATTTCTAGATTTCTTTATAGTTGAGTTTCTATGATAATCTTATTCCACAGTGGCGATGTATTCTGCAGTTACTAATACTCTTCTTATAAGGAAATCTCAATCAAACAGAACACTTAGGAAGTAGGAAATTTGTTTAATTTCTGATTAAATGAGTGCTAGTAGCACTGGACTTCTAACTAAAAGGTCAACAGTTTAAACCCACCAGCTGTTCTGCAGGAGGATGAGGCTGTCTACTTCTGTAAAGATTTACAGCCTCAGAAATCCTATACAGGGTTGCTGTGAGTTGGAATCAACTCAGTGGTACAGAGCAAGCCTCTCTGGTGGTGCAACAGTAAAGAACTTAGACGCTAACTGACAGGGTGGCAATTCTAACCCATGTAGTAGCTCAGCAGGACAAAGACCTGGCAATCTGAATTCTATGTCTATATCTCCTATAAGATCACAGCCTAGAAAAATTTATGAGGAAGTTCTACTCTGTCACATGGGGTCACTATCAGCCAAAAGAGCCATAACAGCACTTAGTAACAAGTCTTTTGGAAGTATAAAATATAGAAAACATGATTTTACTTTTCAGTAACTACGGAAGCTAAGATGCCTTCATTTTCCTGAAAAAGCTAATCTCAATATAAAGTGTGCTACGGGCAATTAGACACTGAAATGAGAGACAGACTTTAGGATAGGCCTCTAATAAAAGTTTTCTGGTTAGACGTCTCATTTTCACAGATACAGAATATGCTCTAATTACCTTATCACTGTGAAGCTACGGCTATACTTTTCTTTAGAAAGTTTGTGTCATGTTAATTCAATAAAAAGGTGCATAATATATTTAAATACATGCATATTCATCAACTTTATATTTTAAATAACCTAAGTGAAAGAAACTTTCTTCATGAAAAAATATTTTGGCACTTTTAGTACTACAGAGGTTCATAAGTTATTTCCTTTATTTAAGCATTGCTAGACAGCATTTCTAGCACTAATACAGTATGCAAATTAAATGGGCTATTGTTACATCTCATAAAATAATTTCCTTTTACCTGGCATAAAAACTACATTCTTAAATTATTATTATTTTTTTTTACTTAGATTGAATATTTTTTTAAAATTATACCAGATTTCATTGTAGATCAAAGGAAAATACAGTTTAAGCAACAGAATTCTGTTTTAAAGCAAAATCTCAAAATATTTACTCTATAACATTGTAGCATTTCTTTGAATTCTATGTCTATATCTAAATCTACTTGAATTCTAACTATGGAAGAAAATATTGGGCACTGTTAAATATTTAAAAATGTCGAGTAAAAGATGTTGTTGGGTTTTTATTTTTACCACATCCAAAATTGATTGCTCCTATCAACTCGAGGTATGTATGAATCCGTCCAATACAATTAACATCCCCACAGTTCTTCAGGCCAGGACGTACTGAGGTCTTATTTAAGTATTTCGGTTTGCATATCTCCCTAATTAAGAGATGGAAGTACAATTATTTTGGATGAAAAAAAAAAAAAAAACATGAAAAAATTGTCTGGGGAAACTTTTAATATTTTAAATATCTCAACTTTTACCCCGTCTCAATGTGTAAATGTGTAAATACAATGCTAATACGTAATATCCAACAGTACTTTTCTCTGAAAATCTTTTTAAATGATGTAATCACTTACAAGTATAGCACAATTTGTGTAATTTTATTTCTTATCCAATATTAATTAAATAGATTCCAGTTACCACAGAATCTGAGAGGTAGATGTTTTTCTATCTACATATACAAATTCAATCAAGCCAGAATCTTTTAATAAAAACAGAGTACTTTGAAAATATCACAGTCAAAGTACTGAAAACCAGTTCTCATAGTTATTCCAATTTCTAGTGGTGACCCTATGTGTGCCAGAGTAGAACTGTGTTCCACAGGGTTTTCATTCACCCATTTTTCAGAAGTAGTTTGCTAAGCCTTTCTTCCAACATGCTACTGTGTGGATTTGAACCATTAACCTTTCAAGAGTCACACATATCAGTTGTAATGTACCACCCAGGGACTCTTGAAAGTACCTGGTATTATTTTTCCATTTTTTAATAAATAATGAAGGTAAATCTATTCTTACTTTGCTGAACATTTTAATTAATAATCAGTTATCTTATAAATGCTTAGATGTTTTACATTAGATTTTAATTATGCCAATAAATATTAAGTGCTTATTCTCAGAAAACAGAGATACTACAGAAGATCCAAAAGGAATCAAGACACTCCCAGACTATAAAAACAAGGTTTATGTATCATAAAATATTTACTTAATATACTCAATGTACCATGCTAGACAAATTGAATCAAAAAGCTCCCAAAGACTATAAAAAAGAGGTTTATATTTAATGAATATATTTAATATACCATGCTAGACATTATATAAAATTTAAGAATATAGGACTTAATATTAGCAGTACCATTTACTGAGAGCTTATGCCAGATGCTATTTTACACCCTCAATCCTGACAGCAATTTATGAAGTAGATGCTATTATTCTCATTTTATATATGAAGATATATCAGTAGTGAGGTTGGCCCAGGATCAGGCAGTGTTTCGTTCTGCTGTGCATAACGTTGCTGTGAGTCGGTACCGACTAGATGGCACCTAACAACAACAACAACATATATGAAGAAACAAGAGGGTCAGAGGAATTAAAGCCCTTACCTAAGGAAGTCTCAAGTCAGGATTCAAGCACAGATATTATAAACTAAGTGTTTGAACATACAAGGGAGTTTCGAAAAGTTTATGGAAAAATTCCAGTATCTTTTAATTCTATTTTTTCATGAATTTTTTGAAACTCCTTTGCATTTCTTTATTTTCCTCTTAATACTAGGAGTTGCTTCTTACAAGTATTCTTTACTACAATGCCACACTTAGGCAAAAGTTGTACTTTTAGTAACCCTAGGAATCCTGGTGTGGCACTGTGGGATAATGCACTGGCCTGCAAGGTGGGTGGTTCAAAGTCATCAGCCATTCCTTGGAAACCCTATAAAGGATCACTATGAGTTGGAACCAACTTGACAGCACTTAACAAGAACAATCACTATCTATCTGTTAGCCTGGTGGAGGCCTGGTGGTGCTGTAGGATAAGTGCTGTACTGATAACCAAGGTCGGCAGTTCAAATCCACCAGTCACTCTAAGGGAGAAAGAGAACTGTTTCTGCTCCTGTAAGGATTTACACCCTGTAAAACACTATGTAGGATATCATGTTTGGTAAGGTGGAGGGTCAGAAAAAAAGAAGAAGACCCCCAGCGGATGGATTGGAAAGTGGCAGCATCAATGGGCTCAAGCATGGCAACAACTGTGACGTTGGCTCAGTACCAGGCAGTATTTTATTATGTGCATAGGGTCACTATGGGTCAGTACCGATTCAATGGCACCTAACAGAGTCACTATGAATGGGAATTGGCAGTGGGTTTGGTTGTTTGAACCATCTGTGAGATAGCAGTTGTAGTCTAGTGTCGTCGAGTTGTTCTGACTCATATACAGTTTTTGAGGAGTAACTGGTGAGTTTGAACCACCAGTCTTATGGCTCAAAATCAACCTTGCATTCCAGCACATTATCCTGCAGCGCCACACCAGGCCTATCTGTGAGATGGCTATGACTTAAAAACAAAACAAAAAAAATTCCCACTCTTTAATATAGTTACCTTAAAGGACAAATAATTTAATATTGTGTGATTTGAAAGGAGTCCTGTGGTGCTGTGGGTTAATGTGCTGGACTGCAAGCTCGCTTTAAACCAGTGGTTCAAGCTCACCAGCCACTCTTCAGAATCCATACACAGGGTAGATTTGAATGGGAACCAACTCGAAGGCACTTAACAATAACAAATCATTTGAGAAGATAACGAAAGTCAATTGTATAAGATGAAAGGTACTGATTTTACAAGCCTGGCTATGTTTCCATCGTTAACTTTTCTAAGTTTAGCAAAATGCTACTGTAATAGAATGAGAAGACCCTTTGATTTAGCAGAGGAGAAAAACAAGGGACGAAGCATAATCCCAACTATAAGGAACTGTGATGTTCTCTAGGAATGTCCTATACAATTGAGAAGTGACAAAAACAGTAACAATTATGAATATTTAATGAATGATTGTTTACTAAAGCCATTAAGAAAAATTCAAATTACCTGTAGAGTACTTAAGTTAATAAGGTGGGAAGTGTTTTGGTTTATCTCCCACTAAATGATTCAAACAAAAGGTGCTGACAATTTACGGGATAAACTTCATTTATCAGAAAATTCCTATATTCTGGTGAAGCTTTATATAGGGTATTATGCCACAACTTCAAACTTTAATGCAAAGCTGTTCTTTTCTAGTGCAGAAGTGTTCTCTATTGTCTTCCTAACACTGTCCTATAAGAAGTATCTTCTTAAAAGAATAATCTGTCCTTCCCCAGGTCAACATGAACAAATAGATGGGTTATGGTAGCTACAAATGACAGTGCTTACCAAAGCTTTCAAAAGTTTTACTATGAGAAATTAGCCTACTTAAAAAAAGATAATAAGCTCTCTGCGTCACTATCAATGTAACATATTAAATTCTTAACAGGTCTTAATTATTTCTTACCACTGATCCAAAATGTAATTTCTAATTTTCAAATAGCGTTCTGGTGTTTTAGCTTGGCGTCCCTCAAAAAACTCAGAAATTGCTTGTTTTTCTTCTTCTTGAATGATATTTCTATCTATTTCTACTTCTTGTTCAGGTGGCTTAAGCTCTTCTTCCTCATGGTTCTCGTCTTCAATTTGACAGGAAGAATGAAAAATTATTTCTTTATCATTCATATCTTTCTGAACGTCACAAGGCTCTAGAAAAGATATTTGCCTAACATCATCTCTTATTCCATTTTCATAATGCTTGTCACAGTTTTTTTGATCATTTAAGTCATCTGAGTTTTTGTTACCAGTGCTCTGTTTTTCAGTCTGTAATGCAATTACTGAGCTTGAAAGTGTTTCTGCCTCACTTTGCTTTATATTCTGAAGATATTCTGTGGAAGATTTAGAAAAAGAGTTTTTCTCTGTGACAGAAGCAATCACTTCTCCTTGCTTAGTTTCCCGAGTTTTACTATCAGGAATGTCTAATAAGAGCCCACTGTTAGGGCACTTTTTGAGTGTTTGAGAAGTTAACTCATCTGTCTCATCTGTGATGTCCACTTCTTCATCATCAGATAACTTTTCAATCTTTACAGCATTCAAGTTTGGATCAGCCAGTCCCCTTAAACCTGATGATGATGGCATCCATGCTTTTGTCCTTTCATCCTCATTTTTAACTTGAAGGTCACTGTTGCTCTTCTGACTTGGTGCTTCTTTCTCCAGACCATGTAATTTTACCTTATTAAAAATGAGGATAAAACCCCCAAAGTATTAATACATAAAATTTAAGCACTGGTACATAAAAAAACAGGCTATATGCAATGATACTGAACTAAATAAGTACAAGTCAATGGCATATTACATTTCTATTGTGCTTTCTCTGCATGGCTTACAATTACATTTTAAATGCAAATGATCATGACCATTTCAAATTTCCATAAATATACTTGACTCATTCATGATCAGATGATCTTTCCCAACCAAAAAAATCATGATCTATTTATAAGAACTATTTCTTTTTTACCATTAAGCTTTTAAAAGTCTGGCTCAGATCAACCATAAAGAACGAACCAATAACTAATATACTAAGGTATTCTCTAAGATTAAAATATTCATAAAGGCTCAGAATATCTGAAATCTCAGTTGATCATTTATTATGTAAAAGAACCCTAAATTTAAAGGAATCCATCTCCACTTCGTAAATTAAAATCATCTTTCATTTAAATTCAGAGGCAGTAGAAACAACTTTTTGTAGTCATTTAATGCAGTTGTAATATTACAAACCTTATAATTTAAGGCAAGAAATTCTCTTCTATATCTATTGCAGACATAAATATCTGATAATGTAGCATGAAAACTATAATGAAAGTCAATGAGTAAATATGACTTGAGACAAAAATTTTATATATACAGTTCAGAAAAACTTATACATAACTGGCATACCCAAGGGATTACTTACAGATTGTGTACCACAATAAAATTTCAGGAACGCACATTTATGGGTAGCTGATGTGGTAATATACTGACAATAATAAAAGGGAGCAGGAGAGAAAAGGAAATTTGGCATACAGCTTGAAGTTGCCTTTAATAAACTTGTTACTTAAAGTCTGTTTTTATCCTAACAATTTACATAGAATTTTGTACTGTTTGATAATGTATCAGTCTGTTGTATTAAAATCTCTGCTGACCTTTCAAGATGCATCACATACAGAATTTTGCATGTCTCTGTTTGAGAAGCATGGGGCTAAGAATAATCAAGTTAAGCTTTACTCTTTTCCAGGATACTTCAACCTTATCTAGTGTTTTGTAAATGCTTTTATTTAGTTAAAAGAGGAAGGAGATGACTCACATATGCTCAATCCATTCCATTACCTAACACCTATCCCAAATGACAGAGTCCTGCTGTCGTGCTATAGGATAAGCACTGGACCGTGAGTGAGGTCATTCAAACCAAAGGTAGGAAGTTCAAACTCACCAGATGCTCCTCGGAAACCCTATACAAGGTCCCTGTGAGTCAGAACCGACTTGACGGCACTTAACAACATCCCTACTGACACTAGGTTAAACACAATTTTGCACTCAAGGCACAACTCCTTATTTACATTAAAGACAAGACTAAATGTCATCTAAGACATTTCCAAATTCTATACAGTAATGTTCACAGATCCCAAGCAGAATATATTTAAAAATCCTAAATATAAAAAATATATACTTGAATACAGCACAGATTACTTGAAAGATTAAAACTAAAGCTTTCTGAACACTGCACTTTATTAATATTTACATATTAAGTCTTTAAAACTGTAAGTTTCATTGTTATTAAAAAGGTTTCAAAATCATACTCATATTTACAGCCCCTAAGTTCTGGAAACCTGGTGTGGCACTGCAGGATAGTGTGCTGAACTGCAAGATCAGTTTGAACTGAAAGGTCAGCGGTTCAAACCCACCAGTCACCCCTTGGAAACCCTACACAAGGTCACTATGGGTCAGAACCGACTTGATGGCACTTAACAACAAGTTCTAATTGGGAGCATGGTGACGCCATACCATAAGCACAGGACTCCAGCCCGCCAGCCACTTCAGTGGAAGATGAGGTTTTCTGCTTTTGAAAAGATTTAAAGCCTTCGAAACCCTATACAGGGTAGCTATGAGTCAGAACCAACTCGACAACACTTATAACAACAAGCTCTAATCAGTGCTTTTTAAGTTTCTATCATGCAAATATTTAGAAAGCAAAGACATTTTTCTAAAGGAAGCACGAAAATATGATTTCCCCTTTGTAACACACTTTATGCTTTGTAGGATGTTTCTGAGCAATTACTGTTTTGTTCTTTTATTGAGCTGTCTGAAATTAAGTGGAGCGTGACTACATATTTAATCACAATACTTACAACACTAAGGATATGCTATGGAGTTTTTAAAGATAAACATGTGAACAGTCTTCCAAGGGTTATGCAATTTTTACTATGAAAGCTTCTAACAGTAAGACTTCAATGCCTGAAATATTTCTGATTGTTGACTTTATTTCTTCATTATCATTATGAACTAGGATATTTATACTTTGCTTACCTGATTTTTAAAGTACTGTCTGGCATAACTCTTCACTTGTAATACAGTACGACTTCCTATTAGCTTTGCAATTTTGGTCCACCTTCGACCAAATTTAGCCTATTATCAAAATGAAAAAAAAGTTTTTAATTCACTTGTTAGCATTCCAGACAACTGAAACATTAAAAAACAAAAATTAAAGAATAAGTCATCTTTCTTTTCTAAAGAACACTTCATTGAAGCCTCCTACAATGTAGGCTCTTAAAATCAAAGCCCATAGTCTTCTTTTGGAACATAGGCTTTTGAAAACTGGCCTAAATTATTTACAAGTTATTACTTTTATAGCTATTTAAATGAAAAGCACCATCATTTCTATTATCTAGCAGTAAAGTATTCACATCACACATTATGACACCCCTTGTTGTTGTTGTTGTTAAGTGCCGTCGAGTCGGTTCCGACCCATAGCGACCCTGTACAGGGTTTCCGAGGGTGTAAATCTTTACGGGAGTAGAAAGCCTCATCTTTCTCCCGCGGAGCAGCTGGTAGTTTCGAACCGCTGACATTAAGGTTCGCAGCCCGATTCGTAACCACTACGCTACCCCTAGTCTAATGCAAATCCTGGCTGATTAATGTCCTGGACTGCAAAGTCAGTTTCAGCCCCAAGGTCAGCAGTTTAAGCTCACTATTTTCTCCTTGGAAACCCTATACAGGGTTGTTATGGGTCAGAACCGACCAGACAATACTTAACAACAACAATATAAGATAGGAGTCCTGGGGTGGCATTGTGGGTTAATGCGCTGGACTGCAAGGTTGGTTTGATGTGCAAGGTTAGCTTTCAAGCTCACCAACCACTCCTCGGAAACCCTATATAGGGTCACTATGGGTCGGAACCGACTCAATGGCAGTTAACAACAACAGTCTAAGGTAAGGTCAGCACTGGACTGTGAACCGCAAGGTCGACAGTTCAAACTCTCCAGTTGCTCTTAGGAAACCCTATACAGGATGGCTATCAGTCAGAACTGACTCCACAGCACTTCACAACAACAAGTCTAAGACAAATTTAACTTCAAAATAACATTTTGTTTTACTCATCTTTCATTTTTTTCAATATCCATTATATGTCCTACCGCATATAGCTTTATAATAAGTTAGATATATTTATATATAAATAAATATATTAGAGTAGACTGATTTACAAGATGTGGCACTGTGGGTTAATGCGCCAGACTACAAAGCCATTTGAAATGCAAGGTTGGCAGTGCAAGCTCGCCAGCTGCTCCCTGGAAACCCTATACAGGGTTGCTATGAGTCAGAATAGACTCAACAGCACTTAACAACACAGCCACAACTCAGAGAAGTTGATCCCAAGTCTCAACTTACAGGTGAGTCAATCAAACTTAGTGGTAGCAAATCATCCTCAAAGATTTGACCCAAATAATAAACCTTAATCCATACACATTACTTATTTCTGACACTCACTAACAGTTTTGGTGTAAAAGTGCTTTCTTAAAAATGAAAGTATTTCTAGAAAATTATTATAAGTACGGTTACGAATCAGGCTGCGAACCACAAGGTCAGCAGTTTGAAACTACCAGCTGTTCTGTGAGAGAAAGATGAGGCTTTCTGCTCCCATAAAGAGCTGTAGTTTTAGAAACCCTGTACAGGGTCACTATGAGTCGGAACCGATTCCACGGCATATAACAACGACAACATAAGTGAATTATTTAAGAATGCTTTTATAAGTAACACTTAGCTGGGATCATCTTATAGAATTAGTTATCTATATTTTGGGATGAAACAAATACATTGAAACCTGTGAAAGCCAGAACTAGGACTGCCTTGTTTTACTAGGTCTCTCAAGTTTTCCACCTTTCATAGGATATAATTTTACCATGCCTCTATCATTCTATTAGCTCAAGGTATCAGTTTTCCTTCTCCCAACAGGTTTTGCCTTACAAAGGTTCTGGCTTACTACCAAGCATTTACCAAGTACATAATTTGTTAGGATGGAGCTCTAACAATAAATTTAAAAGGCTGGGTATATGAGGGAGCTTCAAAATGTTCATGGAAAAATGAGAATGAAAAGTTAATGGAAAGTTTCCTAGAACTTTTATAAGCTTTCCTACCCCCACCCCAAGAGTTGTTATGAGAAAACATTCCCAGTATCTCTATGTATATATACAGTTATCTACATACATCTGTCTATATAAATATGCGTTCTGTTATCTTCTAATTCCATTCTTCCACAAACTTTCTGAAATCCCCAATCGTTGTTGTTAAGTGCCATTGACTCAGTTCTGACTTATAACTCTGTATAGGGTTTCCAAGGAGTGGCTGCTAAATTTGAACCACAAACCTTGTAGTTCAAACTGACCTTGTGATCCAGTGCTTTAGCTTATACAGCACCAATCCAGGACTCCTGAAGTCCCCTTTGTTGTTGTTAAGTGTCCTTAAATCGTTTCTGACTCATAGAAACCCTATGTAGAGTTTCCGAGAAGTGGTTGGTGAATTCGAACCACTGACGTTGCAGTCCAGTGCATTACCCACAGCGCCACACCAGGAACTCCCTGAAGTTCCTTGTTATTGTTGTTAGGTGCCCTCGAGTCAGTACTGACTCATAGCGACCCTATGTACAACAGAACGAAACACTGCCTGGCCTGGGCCAACCTCACAATTGTTTCCACACTTCAGCGCACTGATCCTGTCACTCTGCCAATCCATCTCACTGGGGGTCTTCCTCTTTTTCTCTGACCCTCCACCTTACAAACAAAAGTTCCTTAGTACACACAAAATCTCCCTGGAAGGATACACAATGAATAGATGGCACTGGTTACATCGGATAAAGAGAACTGAAAGCTGGCACAGAATAAGAGGAAGTCTTCATGACCTACAGCATTAGTATCCTTTGAATTTTTGAACTATAAAAATGAAGTCCTAAAAGTAAACTCTCAGCCCATTTGTATATGTATGTATATTTAAAGATAGTGTTTGATAAGGGGCAAAACCCTGAAATTTCCAGCAACTTTAAATAAATGACTGATTAGTTAGTTCATATAAATGATAATCATATAACAGGCAGAAACACCAATATAAAAATCATGAAAGTATAGGGAAAAAACTCTGGGAAGAGATAAAGCCCTCAAGATAGTTTATTTGTATGAAAATATCACCAAAAATAGAGGTCATGAGGATGACTAATTATAAAAATATATATTTTCCATCATCTTTAGAAATGTTAATAATGCTATTTCAGTTGGCATTCTTCAATTTTACAAAAATACAATTATGTATTTTTGTATGGAATAATTTTTGTTGTTGTTATGTGCTGTGGAGTCAGTTCCGACTCATAGCGACCCTGTACAGGGTTTCTGAGGCTGTAAATCCTTACGGGAGCAGAAAGCCTCATCTTTCTCCCGTGGAACAGCTGGTAGTTTCGAACTGCTGACATTGTGGTTCGCAGCTTGATCCGTAACCACTACGCTACCAGAGCTCCTTGTACGGAATATAGAAAAACACATAATTCAAAATTAATTAGGAAAACATTAGTTAACATATCTTAAAGGAAAACATACATACAACCTACTCTTAATAGTTAAAAAAACCCCAAAAAAACAAAAAAAAAACAACCTCAGAATTTTAAGGAATATTTTCACAATTAGAAATTGGCACATATTTTTTCTACCCATTATATTATATAACATGTAGAGTCCTGGTGTGGTGGTGTGAGTTAGTGTGCAGGACCTACAAAGCCAGTTTGAACCGCAAGGTCAGTGGTTCAAGCTCACTAGCTGCTCCTTGGAAACCCTATAAATGGTTGCTATGGGTTGGAACTGACAGGAGGGCACTTAACAACAACAAAATATAACATTGGGCATTTAAATAGATCTCAATGACACATTCATACAAAGGAAATGTCTCTGGTCTTCAATTATATTCCTAAGATATTTAAATAGTGTGTACAATGCTAAACATCTGAATAAAAAAGAACTTGGCTGATTACCCAGATAATACCACACATACAAGTTTTCTTTCTTTGTGTTTTGAAAGAAAACATAGATGACTAAACAATTTTGTTTTTAAATTCAGGTAATTGGTACCATGCAGACAAACACAGGTCAATTTCTTAGGTCTTATTAATAAAAAAACCAAAATCTTGTGGGAGAACTACTTTAACTATTAACCCAAAGCTATACAATATATAGTATTTTAGCATTTGTTGTTAAGTGCCATCGAGTAGGTTCCGACTCATAGTGACCCTGTATAGGCTTTTGGAGGAATAGCTGGTAGGTTTGAACCCTCGACTTTGTGGTTTACAGTCCAGTGCTGATCCTACAGCACCACACCAGGAGTCCATTTCAGCATTTAGATATATTTTAAGACACATTCTCTTTTACTATACTACAAATACCATCATTTTAACAGTAAGAAAACAGAAGATGTTATCAATGAAATTAAAAAGCAATTTCCAGGCTCTACAAACTAATTTCTCCAATTCATAACTCTACCAATATTTGCTTTGAGAATTACTTTATTATAAATTAAAAATTGCTCTACTTACCAGCCCTTGTTCAAACAGTTCTTTTTCTTCAATCGTCCACTTTACTGGGTAACTGGCTGGTTTTGTAGCAGAATGTACCCTGAGGGATAAAAAAGGAATTGTAAAAAAATTTCTGAACTGGAACTCCATATTTATGCAGCTAAAAGTTACAGATAACCATGGACTATATTTAGTACTTTGAGTCTAAGAATTAATTTTTTTTTAAAGAAAGACGGCAGGTTCTACCGGGAGAATGAATTACCCTGACCCACATACTTTTCTAGCTCAAAATGATAGGAACCCCAATAACACAATCCTTAGGTTTGAGTGAGGACAACATTAAAAAACACCAAATGAAGCCATTGTAATAACAAAGAAATAGACCTCCTTATGTTGGACATGAAGCAACAGACATTAATACATTCCCAAATTCTGAAATATTATTTCTTTGATTCTTCCAATGTAAATATTTAACCAGAATAGTAAAAAAAAAACAAAAAAACTATGGCATTACATTTATTTCTTTTATAATTCATAGGATCACTTAAAGATATAAAAAAGCTCATTAATGTAATTTAAGTAAGCCATATCTTCAATTAGGAGTCCTGTTGTGTGGCACTGTGGATTAATAAACTAGACTGCAAAGTCAGTTTGAATCATAAGGCTGGCAGCTCAAGCTCACCAGCCACTCCTTGAAAACCTCATACAGTGTCGCTAAGGGTCAGAACCAACCTGATAGCATTTAACAACAATCTTTCAGTTAATTACATTTTTCTGTTAATGTTTACTTAGCAAAATACAAAAGCCCGAGGCTGCTCAGTGCTTAAGTTACTGGGGATCGCAAGTCTAAATGAAGAATTAAGTTCACCATTTCAAGGAATCAAGAACTTGCATACATAAACAAGAAATACTCTTCAAATTTTCTTCAATTATAGGGTAAGGATATTTACAAAAATGGCTGACTTAGTTCAAATTAAATTTTAGTCTAAAATAACTGAAAATTAAATGAAAGAACAATAGAAAGCAAGCCAATTCCTAATAGATTAAGATTAATAACCCGCTGCTGTTGATTCCTACAGCAACCATATAGGACAGAGTAGAAATGTCCCATAAAGTTTCCATGCTATAAATCTCTAAGGAAATAGACTGCCTCAACTTTATCCTAAGGCTGGTGTATTTGAATCACCGACCTTTCAGTTCACAGCCCAATTTTTAACCCACTAGGGTTCCTATATACAATATAGCACCTTCTTAAAATCTCCCTACATATTCCTGAGAAATCACCTTTTCCACAATCTTGTTTAGGGTCATAAGAAATTCGGGCAAATAAAGGATATCACAAAATCATACTTTCTACATTTCAACATTTATATGAGAAACTTTATATATATATTTATATTTATAACTTTAGGTAAAGATGGCTTTTCCAGAGGGCAACTATTAAAAAAAAAAAAAAAAAATCCCGTAATTTCTAACAAACCTACAAGTTTAAAAAAAATGCAACATAAGTACATACATGGTTTTTTCTGTTTTCTGCAGACTGCACCACATGAAAAAGACAGAAAAAAAGTTTGAGAAAACATTTTTAAAATGCAGTTCCTCTGATTGGTGATCATGTTCGTCACTGGTAAGGAGAAGTGAGGGAAAAACAGCTATGAAGCTGTGAGCTAAGCCCTATACAATGTTCAGTAGACTCCTGTGAACCTGGGTGGAGATCCAGTTGGCCAGCAGTGTAGCAAGACCTGGGGACTCTTGAGCCCAGAGTCAGTGACATAGTCACAGAGGATTAGAGTGGAGAATGAAGCGTCCAGCTGATAAGAGAGGGCATATGCATAAGAACACCCACACTTGCAGATAATACCCACTTGACCTGGCTTCAATGACTGGATTATGAGAGCTCAACTAGAATTAGAAAGAAAAGAAAAAAAAAGAGAGATCTGATAAAATTCGATGATCTTGACCTATACCTATGGATGCAGTAGCTCAAAAGGGGGAACAAATCTTTACAGCGAGGGTCATTCCCACCCCCTCCATACAGAGTAGACAGGGATGAGTAACTTGGACATTGGCTACCCAAAATGGGGGGGTGGGGTGTGCTACAAAGGCAAGAAACTTTTAAGAGTAGCGCGTAGACACAGAGGGCATGAAGAAAGGTAGAATCTCCACTGAGTAATATCCAATCTGTCTGGGTGGGACTGATGAAAGGAGATGGGGATAGGTCTCTTGTGGCACAATAGTGAATAATTGTTATCAGGACTGAATGTGAGGGTTGGAAATGTAAAGGTAGACGTTTTGTAGGGGATTAGTGATTGACTTTGCAGTCTAGGAGCAGAGGTCCCTGGACCCATCAAGGGAGAAGAGCGGAGTGCGGGACCATACCCAGAGAAACAGTGACACTAGAGATGGAGGCAGAGACAATGACGTGGAGAGATGGAGCAGCTGGGAACTCTAGACCCAGAGAGGGAGAGAGAGGCTGCGTGCTGACGACCTGGTTCGTTGATGATGCATGGAGGGGATTGTAACCATGGCAATGTAACAATATACGACAGGAAGAATGTCAAGCTAATATTCTCCCATGAAAATTATCACATAATTCACAATAAAACATTTTTAAAAAAAATGCAATTCCAACTATTAGAAGTATTATAGAGTGATTTTACCTTTTCATATATTTTTTATCATTTTCCTTTTGAGGAAGCCAGAATTTTCCTGGCAGTGATTTCTTAGATAAATAATACCTGAATAATCATTAAGGAAACCTTAAAAACAATAATAAAGACATTTTAATGTGATTTATACAAATTAGGGGTCCTGGTGTGGTGCTGTAGCATAAGCACTTGGCTGCAAACCTCAAGGTTGGTGTTTCAAACCTATCAGCCACTCCTCAGAAACCCTATATACAGTGGTTAGCAGTCACAACTGCCTCAAGGGCACTTGACAACAGTTGTTGTTAAGTGCAACTGAGTCAGTACCAACTCATAGCGACCCTATGCACAACAGAAGGGAACACTGTCTGGTACTGTGCCAACCTCATAATCATTGCTACACTTGAGCCCAATGCTGCTGCAATATTCTTGTGCTATCTGACAGTGTTCCACTGCTATTCATAAGGTTTTCAGTGACTAAATATTCCTAAGTAGTCTGTCTCTCCTTTCTAGTCTGTTTCAGTCTGTAGGCTCAACTGAGACCTGTCCACCATGGGTGACTGTGATGCCTTGAATTTATTTGATATGGATTTTCTATTCAAAATTTTCTTAATTCCCACCAAGTGACTGGGTGGGACCATGCAAATAAGATATACAGGATTTTAAGGCTGGGATTGGTTAGTTTTGTCTTCTTGTTGTCAGGTGCCATCGAGTCGGAACCGACTCATAAC